TTAGGGGGTTAGGGGCTTTGGGGTTTAGGGGTTTAGGGGTTTAGGGGTTTAGGGTTTAGTGTTCAGGGTTGAGGGTTTTTGTTGGCTTTGGACTTTGCCACTTTGTAGTAACAGGGTTTGAGGGTGTAAGGCTTGAAAAATCTGAAGAAGTTTGCAACCGAACATTTTATATATCAAGTCTTGGGTTCAACTAAGCTTTGTGTCTTTGTAAGTGTGGGATTTATGGCTTGCTTTCGTCTCTGGGTTGGGAGGGATTTGAACCTAAACCCTAAACCCTAAGCCCTAAACACGAAAAGCCCTGACCACCAAAAGCTAAGCCAAGGCTCCTCCGCCGCCAGCACCGCCCCAGCGGCCCCCAGAGCGCTCTGGCAAGGCAAGAGCGAGGTATTTTGGGGGTTCCTTTTTGTAACAGTATTTATAGTATAATGGGCACCAGAACCCTATTCTAATTTTTAAGGCCCCTATATTACACTCTAAAAAACAACCCCTTGCGAGGATGTTGTTTGAAACAGTTCATGCTTAGGTGCCTGCAGGATTGGTCGCTTTAGGGCTTTGTCAATTGCTTTGGAAGGAGTGGGGGGTATGATACGTGTTTGAGGGAGGGAGGGAGGGAGGGAGGGAGGGAGGGAGGGAAGGAAGGGAGGGAGGGAGGGAGGGAGGGAGGGAGGGGGGAGGGAGGACTTGCCTGCTTGCTGCAAGTCTTAAAGGCCCCCCGCCGTGGCGAGGTCCCCGTGGCCCGTTGTTTGTCCTCCACCCCCGCTTTTCAGGTCGTTTGCCGTCTCTCTATCATTGGTTTGCTTTGCGAGGGGCATAGGCCGAGGGCAGTCCCGTCACTCTCTTTCGTTCACAGGGAAGGGAAAGCGAACCCCCTCCCCCAAGGCCTTTGTTCGCCAGGGCCGGGGTGGGGGTTAATCCCCCGCCGCGCGCTGGGCTCTTTCTCTCTCTCTCTCTCTCTCTCTCGCTCTCTACCGGGACGGGGGAAGGCAGCGGTCCAGCCACCCACTCCGCGCGCGAACGTGCGCGGTTCATTGGCGGATTGTCCCCCCTTCGGGTTTACTGAAGAGGGCTCGGCTGTACGAGAAAAGGAGAAGGCTTGCATGATCCCCCTTGAAAGTAGGATCAAAAAACACACACACGTAAAACAGTAATCCCATCCCCCGTGTCATGCTGGATTTCTCCGAGAACAGGAGGAAAAACGTGCCGCAGGCATGCGATGGGCTACCAAGGCCAGTGTGCAAGTGAAGTAAGCCTCCCGTCTCCCGAATTCTTTACGGTTGCGAAAAGGTGAGTTGCAAAGAGCCTAGGATTTGGGGGGCTTTGTCCAGCCCAGTAGGATCGGGTTTACCTGAGAAGGACCATGTGGCCCGTGCAAAAACTTCACACCTTGACACAGCTTTGCTGACCCTCCCCCCTAGTTCGAGGAGTCCTTATCCTACTTAACCCTACTTATACTTAGCTCCCCAATACCCAACCTTTAAACTTTGTGGGCTCTTATAATTTAGTAGTGATCTGAAAGTTTAATCGGCGTTTCACATCAAGGGAAGAGCTACGTTGGATTAGGAATTGCACATGAGCATGGTTCTGGGGCAGTGGTGGGATGCTCGGCACTTGCAGCTAGGCTCGCTCTCTCTTTCTTTCACCAGGGCTAGGGGTAAGGGAAGACTAGCCCCCCTCACCCGCGCGCGTTAAGCGCCCCCGACATGTGGGGAGCGATTTGTGAGATTCGCATGCGACAGAAAGGCAGAGGTGGCCCGCACAAGAAAGTTGCGCTCATGCAAAACATAAATTGAAGAACTGGAAAACCGGAGCAACTCTCCGGGCCGCCTAGGAGCACTTTCCGGATTGCATGAAGTTGACTAATTACTGAGCGCTTCAGCATCTCCTTCAGAAAAGACGTTTTGGGGGAAGAATCCCCCGGACCTCGAGTGGCACCAGAAACTATAACAACAGAACCACGTCTGAAGGAGATGAGGCTTTGTTCCCCTATTCGGCACTCAGGAACCTGCCCTACAGCAACACGGTCTTGCAGACTCACTCTCGCCTTCTGTAGCTCCTATAACAGGAACCTTGACCTTGACCCCGAAACCCAGAAAGAAAACCACAAACCAGCATCCCCCCGGAACCTACCGAAGTCAAGAAAACCTGAACAGAAAAATCCAGGGGTATTCCCCGGACCCTAGAGAGTGGCCTGAAAAACTGGGCATCTCGTTGACGCACGGTTTTGCACCGAGACCATAAAACAAACAACCTGCCATTGAGAAATTCGTATGAGTATGCACCTGCGACATGTCAAAAAGATGCCGGATCCAAAGGGCAGCATGTGGCATACAAGAAACAGGGCATCAAAGACGGCAAAGGCGGACATGTCTGGGCTTGTGAATTCACTCTCGCAATCTGTTCATTCTGACAAAAAACAAGTACAACAGAAACGACCCTTAAACCAACCCCACCCCCGAACCTCCTGAAGACAAAATAACCTGAACAGAAAGCTTCGGGGGTTTTCCCCGAACCGTGGAGAGTTTCAAGTCCCTGGGGCTGCCGTGCATGAAATGACTGATTGCACCTTGGTTGAAACAAAGGGGAAAATCAGAACTCAGGAATTAACGGGAAGTTCACCCCCGATGCACGGCTTTGTAGAAGTGGGTCTAAGCACAGGCACTCAGGCTTTCTCAGTTGGGCTTGTCGTGCGGCTTCGGCAGAATCAGCTGCACGGTGGGCACGACGGCAGCTGCACCACTACGAGGAGCTCCCCGAAGCCAGTCATCATTCATTCTCGTCTGAGAAGTAGGCTGTATCCATAGCCGCGTGGAGTCTCCGTCTCCTGTGTGACGACGTGCTCATGGCTCCAGGAGCTTCCTCCTGTCTGAGGTTGTCTGGTCGAAAGGCCTGGTTGGACAGCAAAACCGTGCTCGCCTCCGATCCTGGCAACGAGGGGGGATGTCCCCCGTCCGCATGTTGTGGGCTGTCAACGGCGGTCATGACAATGGGCACGCCCCAGAGTGCCGTCGTCCACTGGAATAAAAGGCTGTGCGCCTCCTGGATCACCAAAGCGCTCTGGTGTTCAAGGAAGGGTAGGACCTGTTCGAGGAGCTGTTGGGCACGTAGTACCTGAAAGGGGGTTGCTTCCCCTCTTTGGCTCGCCTGCGGTTCCCCTGCTTGTTGTTCTGAAGGACGGCCAGGTGGTTGTTCGGGTGCTCGTTCTGGAACTGCTTGGCCAGGGCGAGGTTCAAGTGGGCGGTCTGCAAAACGGGGGATCTGCGCACTCCCCGATGGCACCTCGTTCGTCCGGCGTTTTTTGGGGGACGGGCTCCCCGAAGCTTCTCCAGTTCGGCTGCTGGCTCCAAACCTTGTCTGTATCCAGGCAAGCAGGGCGTCCATGTGTGCGCTGGCCCGACTTACTGCATGTAAGGTGGAGGTCAAAGCTTCCGTCGTGTTAGCCAAACCCCCTTCTGCAACGGCCATGTGGCTAAAGGTGAGGCTCTGGAGGGCAGTGCTGAGGCTGGCATCTCCCTCAGGTGCTCCCGGAGCTTGTGGGGAACGCCCCCAGCTGCGAAGGATTTGCTGTCCCTCCAGAAGAAGGGCCTCAACGCGCCCTATTTCTCTGCCCAGATGACGCATGGGCAACTCTTTGTGGTTCGCGACGAGGTTGCTCAGCGTGGCCTCGGCCTCCACCAAGGGGTTGTTCATGACAAAGTAGATCTCGGTGGGCGCTGCGAGCGCGGTGGCTTTGGGGTCACCCCCAGGATCGTTGTTGTCAAGGTATTCGCCCCTTTCGCGACTTTCACTCACTGTTTGCAGCTTGTCCAAGTAGTAGCACGCTTGGTAGGCCAGCTCTGTGACCTCTTCCCTCGGTTGCAAGTGCGACTGCTGGAGGAGGTCGTGGAGTAGCGCTCGAAGCAGCCGCAACACATTGAGCACGGAGGTACTCCCCCGGGAAACTTCCTCTTGGAGTTGGAGTATTTGCGTGGAAAGCGCCGGGGATGTCCACGTCGTAGGGCTGTTTTGGTCTGGTTGTGTAGGCGAGGTTCCGGGCTGTCCCCTCTGCATGAA